TATCTCAGCATGACTTAATTGAAGTAAATTTTGACAATGGTAAGAATTTGCCCTTTAAGTTATGAAATTAATTTTCATCAGTTCAAGGGTTGAAGATTTATCTTCCTATGAGTGTTACTAAAGAGTTTAAGATGATGCGATTGAAATTTGCCCAAAAATTCTTTGAAGTTGGATCAATCATGATGAGCAACCCTCAATCTCCAACCCTTAATAATATCAAATATGTTCTCAGTATATACGATGAAGCATTAAGTCCTCAATTAGCTCAATGTCAGGATATTCGTGGCATTTTACAATTAGTTAGTCGTAATTGTTCGCTTGATGATATCACAATGCTAGAGTTTTTCATTAACACTTTTAACATAGATGAGGCTAAGCCAGTTATTGAGGAATATAAAGAAGCTGTTGAGGAGTTTAAGAAAACAAAACTCAGTAAATGTTTGAAAGAAAAATTTTCATATGCTTCACTACTTCAATGTGAAAGGATTACTATTGTTGTTGATGATATACATGCTACTGAATTCACTCTTAATGATGTTAAAAGTTTGTCATCAGCTATATTTGAAAAATCATCACGACACATCAGATTAAACGTTATCAAAGAAGGCTCTGTCTTTATCACTTGCTCTTTCTCTTTGATTCTATCTGAGCAGTTAATTACAGTTGCTCAGGGTAATATTGATGTATTGAGAGCTAACAAAGTGAAGAGACTAACCATTGGATACTGCACTGTGTATGAGGTGAGTATTGACTATACACTGCATGAACTGATGACATTAATTTACTTGACAGGTACAAAAAATTGATGACACTTCTGCTCCTGCTACAATTGAATCAGGTAAGTGATCTTTTTCCTTGCTTGTTCAGTTACTGTTGATATTGTATTATAGATGAATCACCTGGTTTACTCAAGCAACTGATGATATCATTGGCTATACAAATAATCAGTAGTAAAGAGGAGGTGACTTATGAGGTATGTGTATGTGTGATTAGAAGTAATTATAATAGTAATAATAATAATAGTGTTATAATAATGCCATGAAGTAGCTTTAGAGCTAATTCACACTGCAACGCAATGTCCCTTCACTCACTTGTATACGACTGGAAGCATTCTCCCTATAAACGTATAGGCGTTTGTGTATGTTTAAACACAAGAGTTTAAGATTTCCAACATCTACAGTATGTTTTCCTAATTCCAGGCACTTTCGGTCTTTTCTTTTTATATACAATTCACTATTTTTCTTAGGAAAGCATGACATTAAAGAAAGAAGCTGAGTCATTAATACAAAGACTGGATAAGACATTGAACGCCAGTGTAGCAAAGAGTGATAAGTTTAAAGGTATTATTAATTAGAATAATGTTAATGCATTTTAAATTTATTGTTATTAATTATTAGCAGAGTATGATGAATTGAAGGAAATGAAAGAAATATTAAAAGAGCAGCTTGCTTCATTTCATAAAAGTAATTTCTGATAATTAAGCCCAACATACACTGAGCAACTTTGTTGCCAGTACCTTTGATGTGGTGAGGCAACTTGTTGCCAGAAGTTGAGAGTCTCTCTACTTTCTGCAACATGTTGCCCAGTGTTGCTCAACCACATCAAAGGTCTGACCACAAGTTGCCAGCAACAAAGTTGCTCAGTGTATGTTGGGCTTAATACTAAGTGTAAATGCCTTCATATGTTATGCCTATTATCCTGCTGCTTTTGGAACCTTCGTAGTGCTTTACTGTAATCTAATTAATTATGTTATTTTTAATTAGAGTACGAGAAATTGAAGGAAATGAAAGAAACATTTGAAGAGCAGCTTGTACTTTCATTAACTCAAGAAAGTAATTTTAATTTTTTATTTAATGTGCATATAACTTTCCTTTGCGATTTGCTCTGATCTGTTATTAGGTATTGAAGCAACAGAATATGAAGTCCAAGATTATTTTGAAGGTATAGCTGAAAAACTACCAGAGATTGCAGATGCGTTCAATAAGTCAGTCTCTGATATCAAAGGACTGGTAGATGAAGCAACAAGGGGCCTTGAGGAAATACGTAAACACAGCGAGGTGAGGCAGGTATCTCAAGTAAAGGAATCGTATCAATCTTTGAGTAAGACAACGAAAACAGTTCACAGTTACCTTGATAAAGTAAATGATTTGTATCGACTACTCACTGAACAGACTCCTGATGTAATAGAAGATGTTGAGAGTGGAAGATTGAAGAGTAGTGACCAGTTAGCTGTTCAGATTGACAAAATATTACAAGACAGCACAGATTTTTATATTGAAGTACTTGATGCCTGTTTCGAGGAATTTGCCACAAATTGTGATGAAGCTCAAGGTGAATTGAGGAGACTCCAAGAAAAAGAAGAATTTAAAGAAGCAGCAGCCAAAGTTGCTGCAGGTGGGGCAGTGGTTGGTGGTATAGCAACATCAGTGCTAGTTGGAATATTTACTGCTGGAATTGGACTTGCTGTTGGTTTAGGAATGACTGCAGGAGCAACAGCATTAACTACAGGAGTTGCTATAGTCTTGGCAGGTGTATTTGGTGATACAGCCAAGTCATTTGCTGAAATGAACAATAGACTCAAGAGACTTGAGCAGATTAGACAGATACGAGATATAATTAACGAGATTCATCTTACAAACACAAAAATAAAAAGAATGACACCTGATGAGCGTACTAATCTTGCTATGAAAATGAGGTCTACTTATAAAGAAAGTGAAAAACATTATAGCAAGACTTCTAGTAGACTCAAAGTAGCTGCAGAGATTAAGGTAGCTTTTGCTAACAAAGTTGATGATGTGTTTCCAAATTGAATTACATTACAACATGCATTTTACAACATATGTGTTACCAATTGATTGTGCTAGTTAATTACAATTATGATAAACTACTTATTGTTTGAATTTTTTTGAAATTGGAAAATCAAAGGGCCCAACAGCCAACACAGAGTGAAAAAAGGAACTAAAATTGGTACCAAATAAATCTGGCAAGCTGGTAAATTGGAAACAAAAATAGAGAGAAGAAAAAAGGAAAGAGAGTACATGTAAATAATAGGTTTAAAGAAAGAAAGAGATAAAGAAATAGGTACGTGTAAATAAAGAACAAGAGAATTTAAAAATAGCATAGTTAAGTAGGTGCAATGGTGACCATTCGGTGTTGTTAAGACAATTGAAGACGGTAAGGAGTCGGCGATTGTGATAGAGCTGAGTGAGAAATGAACTAGTGAGCCATAAAGCTCAGTTTTTATTTGAGAAAATTGAATTGGGAAGGATGTGACCTTAGAGATGATGGTTGGCTATAAAAATACCAGCTGTTAATACACACCTACATGCCACTCATATCTAACCAAGAGAGAAATTGTTTATATAAGAGTCTACTTTCACACCACAGCTTAACAACATGACATATGCTGCATTTACACTACAAAAGTGGGCCATAACCATGCTGGCCTGGTTTGGCCCAGCTCACTTCAGCTCAGTTTGGTTACTGTTTACACTATCAAATGAATCTGTGCTGGCCCACTTTAAACAGGGCCAACTCAGTTAAAGAAGCTAGTGTAAACACAGTAATAGTCTACATAATCATATATAATGACATATAAGAAATGTACGTGTCAGTAAAAAATGCTAAAAATGGTTGAAGGTAGGTTACTTATTATGTAACACATGTATTACTACTGTATACATGCCTCTAATGAAATACATGCATGTACATTGTGAAATACATGCATCACTGATCATGTAGTATACTATATACCATAATTATATTGTACAGATGAAAAATTTTGAAAGAAACATGCTGTAACAAGTTTTACTGTTATCGTGAATTTTCCATTTACAAGCTCAAGTACATAATAGATAATTTTTAAAATCATTAATGACCCAAGAAATCACATGAACACACGGCATTAACATAATCACAACATAATCACGAGATTATGTTGCTTATTCATTCAAATGAATAAGCAATGCATGTGTGTGAATGAAGTGGAGGAGTGAAACAGCCTAGCTGTTATGTCTACAATGCCAATTGCACAATGAACATCAGTCACACACTAATTGAGCACACTACTACTCAGCAGATGTACTACTGCTATATATATGCAGTATTAACAATTTCTTTTGCAATTCACTATCTAGAGTTTAACATGAATATGCAAAGGCTTTTAGCAACTCAGTTTCTGAAGTCCAAGAGTTGGTGAGAGAAGCAACAGCTGACCTAAGGGAAATATGTGAATGCGATGAAGTGAAGAATATACCTGAAGTAATCAATTTGTATCAATATTTGAGCACTATCAGTAGATCAGTTCATGAATACCTTGAAAAAGTTACAATGCTATATAAGACACTCCAGAAAAAATCCCCTACTGTAACTCAAGACATCAAAAATGGGGATTTTGAGAGTGTTGAACTGTTGATTGTTAATATTAACAAAAGAATTCAAGATTGCAAGCAACAACATGCATTACTTCTTGACCGTTGTCAAGAATTTTCCAAAATATGTGATAGTGCTGAAAGAAGGTGCAGAAAACTTCAAGATGAAGCAAATAATTGGAGGAGTAACAACTGCAGGAGCAACAGTAGTAGTAGGGGCTGGTGGTCCAGTAGCTTCCCACTACACCAGACTAACATGAGCTGTGCATGTGTCATTACTCTAGTTATTGCAACACCTTGACGCCACAATCAGTTACATGATATTACACTCATAAACATGACACGTCTGCTGTACATGAGAGTAGTGCCATTACCATATACATGTATGACCAATTGACCATACATGTACATCTAGCTGACATTGTTTTGACTAATATTCTGATGAAGCATTAGTATTAAGGCCTTTTAACACTAACAAAAGTAATGCACATTGATGTACATTAATCATGTGTTCACACTAGAGTGGTTTCAAATTAATGCTCATCAGTCTCACTTCACCTGGAGAGGTGGATTGATGTGAAGTGATGAACTTAGATCAATGTATAGCCATTTTCACACTGGCACAGTTTTTAAAGTGCTTTGATGTGCTTTGCTAATACAGCTGAAATACATGTGTCATGCACATTGAACATGTTCATACTAGCAGCTAAACAAGGCACTTTAAAACTGTGCCAGTGTGAAGAAGCCTTAAGTCAGCATTGTGAAGCTATATTGACATAGTCTACATTTAATTTATCAAAAGATTCATTTTTGGACAAATGTGAGTCACAATAAGAAAGTATTTTAATACAAAACTAAAGTACCAAAGTATTAAAAATGAGTGTCATATAATTAACATGTACATATTAAATCACATACATGTACATATTGAGGTATGTGTCACTTGAACCTCTTAATCATCACAATTGATATTTAATGAATAACATAAATGTAAATATAAATACAGTTACTATAGTACTAACTGGGAAAGAACTAATAAAAATAATAATTGTTCTAATATGTGGCGGCTAATTAGTGTTTAAATAATAAAATAATAATTACAGTATTACTTAAATACTTTCAGAAGCAGCTAGTAGTTGCTATGGTTACCAGAGGTCACACTTCTTGCTAGGATTCATCCGTGCATTACCAGCACATTTGAAAGTAGAAGAGAACTCCTCACTATTGGAGAGGGCACCTATAACCCTGGGGGCATTAATTGGAAAGAGTTGAGGTAGCTAAACCCTAGCTATCATAAATTCATAATCATCAATGTCCTTTTCAACAAGTATTCACTTAACTCGAACTTTTTTTTGGCCTCAAGCTTCGTTAGTTATTACCAACAACTTACAGTGCTGAGTTTTAAACGGTAGTGAACGGGAATAAAATTGGCTACTCCATGTGTTGTGACATATACTCCATGTGTTGAATGGTGGAATTGAGTGCTGGAATTGCAATTCAGAAGGACTGTTAGCTTGGTCTTGTGTAGCCAAGAAAATCATGCTTTTACAGCCATCTAGTGGAAGCATAGAATGAGTGTTTTAGTTACTTAACTCAACATTTGGCAATCAACGTCTCTCTTCGACTATATACAGGCTTATCTTATGTTACATGAATAATTTGAGAATAATATCCATAAATACAGAAGAATAATTACAAAAAAATTAAGAATTTGGGAATAGAATAATAGGAAATTTTTTGGGAATAATCCCCTCAGGCCTACATGTGATGGTCAGGTCAATTTTTAATGATATAATAAGAGTTTATTATCTAACATAAATAGTTAATTAACCACTACCACAGTGTATAAAAATACAAGAAAGCTACATGATACAAGTGAAACACTCCCAGTTCAGGCCCTCTTTCAAAAATACAGCAAGTTGCTAAAACCAGAAATGGCTACGTATGTTGCATCTCTAAATGTAACAATGCCCATCATTGCAGAAAACTTTGATTTGATTGATGCAGAAGTAAAGCAGCTGACAGAAACGATGGGAAAATTACAGGAAATAAAAGAAGTAAAGGATATCGTAACAGAGGCATTCAGGAAATTGAAAGAAGCAAACGGTGCCTTTTATGAGTACTACGAAACAATGACCAATACATTTCAAGATATAGCTGACAAAAGCAAAGTTTTGGTCAGTAATCCTGAAGAATACAGCCGATTGGAAGAATTAATCAGCAACTTAGCCAAAAATTTTACAACATGTGAAGAGAAATACAAAAAGTTTCAACAGCTCAACAAATCTTTCATCAGTAGCTGCGAAACAGCTCAAGCAGAATGCACCAAGCTAGCAGAAGAGAATCAGACAAAAAAGAAAATTGTACAAGGAGTCGGTGGAGCAGGTGCTGCTGCAGTAGCAGTTGGTGGTATAACAGCGTCAGTACTGGTTGGAGTGCTCACTTTTGGAGTTGGATTTGCTGTTGGTTTTCCACTTACTGTAGCGGCAACAGCAGCTACTGCAACTGCAGCTGGAACAACAGTAGCCTTGGTTGCTCATTATTTTGGTAATGCAGCTGAATTACTTGAAAAAATGAGTCGGCAATCCAAAAATCTCCAACGTCACACATTGTCTGTACAAGAAAATCTAAGTAAAGCACAGGGATCCAACTCTGATAATAATAATCAGATGTCCATGACCACACAGCTGGGTGACCAAAGAGCAATACAGAGTATAGCAGATGGAAGTCGTACTTTACATAAAAAGTTGAAAATTGGGCTACAAAATGCAAAATTTGGTGCCCAATTTGAGCTGCGTGTCAAAACTTGAGCTACCAATAGACTTTTAATAATTATACTTGTAGCATGATGTTATAGCAACTTAGATAGTTTGAATAGTTTTTTTATTATGCTCTAACTTTAGTTCTTTTGTGATTTGATTTGTTTTAGTTAAAATAAATACTTTTATTAAATAATAACAATAATGCCAGCAAGATCCAGACATCATCAATATTACTCAAAGCCAGATGGGATTAAAATTTAAATGAGTAGAAGCTATTGAGATAGCACCGGAAGCTACAGTATACATATACATGTAGTACATTTACTAGATGGCGTGACTGGTTCCTATGAAATTATGAATACAGTATTGTAATCTATCTCCCGATGCTTTGATAGATTACAATATTCATAATTTCATAAGAACCATTCATACCTATGGAATTATTGGATATAATAGAAACAATGAGTGTATGTAATTATTACATTACTTAGTTTAAGATAATATATACACAACTAGGAAAACTGTAAATTTGTTAGCTATGCCTAAACTATTCCCAGAAAGAGACCTAATGGACAGTAACTACATGTACTACCTTAGTAAGCCTACTAATAGGCCAAAATGAGAACAGTCAGTTTAAAATGTTGACTCCTACAGCCCACATATACCAACCCATTAATTAACAACCATAATTGCACAGGCCTTGCAAAACAATTCATAAACCATCTATGAACTTTAAAGGGGGCTGTGTATGCAAATAGCTGTAACAGTCACTTGATGAATAAGAATTACTATAATGGAATAATCTAAACAGAATAATTAAATATACAAAATCTATACACGGAAAAGAACTAACAAAAAATATTTATTGTTCTAATATAATGGCAGCTAATTAATGTTTAAAATAATTATAGTGAAATAATAATAATAATAATAATAATAATAATAATAATTAGTTAGTTACTTTCAGCAGCAGCTAGTAGTTACTATGGTTACCAGAGGTCACACTTCTTGCTTGGATTCATTCGTGTATTATCAGCACATTTGAAAGTAGAAGAGAACTCCTCACTATTGGAGAGGGCACCTATAACCCTGGGGCATTAATTGGAAATAAGAGAAAGACAGGTTAAAATTAATGTACATGTATACATGCATTAGAAAATGTAATGAAATCTCTCCTAGCCATTTTAATGAATTTTCTCAGCCAAAGACCATGTACAATGTACATGTATGTACATGTAGTACAGGGACTCTGGCCTGATTATAGAGCAACTTTAAAAATTTGTAAAAAAATCTAATTTTGATCGTAATCAGTGAATATACATGTACCTGTAAGGTCCTGGGCTGTGTGGGTTGGTCTTCAAATTGGACGCAATAAACTGAGGAGAGAATAGTGAACACCACACCTACAATAATATACTAATAATATACTGACGATTTACTGATAATATACTGACCTGACCAAACGCTACAAAGAAGAGCTGATCAGGATTAAGATCAACAGAGGGTAGACTAGGAGGTGTGGTCGTACCAATGACATTCTTATACGCTTGAAATGCTGTCTTTACTCCTCCATTATCAGCAATATTCTCACCTTGGGTTAACTCACCATTGATCTAATGGGGGAAGAGCAATTTCCATTATAAACTGTATGGGGTTTAGTCTGTTAAATGATGATAAATATGTGTATATAATGATATTAATGATTGTATTTATTATTATACTGTAGATAGACTCTTAGTTGAATACTTGTATGATATAGAATACTAATAATATACTGGTAGTATACTAACGTGATATCCAAACATTGAATATTGTGAATATTGGTCTACAAAGCATTTAGTTTTATTTTTGAATTTAGCAACTGAAGTATTAGTCCACCATGGGGTGAGGACACCATCTTGATTGTACTGCTGGCCTGTGAAAAACAATTAATAAATAATAATTAATAATTAAAAATAAACTAATTAATTACCTTGATCGTCAAAGCCGTGGGTAAGTTCATGACCTGCTACAACACCAAAAGCACCGTATTTGAAATAACTAAATAATAATAATAATAATAATAATAATAATAATAATAATAATAATAATAATAATGTATTAATTAATGATTAATTAATAATCTTACTCAGGCCAGCCAGCATCAAAGAAAGGAGAATTCAAAATCCCTTCAAGAAATACTGTAAGAAATAATAAATAAATAAATAAAAATAATAAACAAATAAACAGGTTCTTACCAAACTCGTTATAAAGTGGTTCATAGTAAGCATTAACTACAGTAGGGGCTATCTCCCACCTGTTGGTAGAGACACAGTATCAACCATCAGTCACTAGTAATGTACATGTACTGATCTTACTCTGTTTTAACGACTGGTTTCCCTAGTTTCTGAAGGTTCTCAGTGTTACCGTTAATCACATGATTAACAGCTGACATGAAGTACTGGCCACTAGCTTGTGCTACAGAAGTACTTTTATTAAATAAATAATTATTATCACTGATTTCATCAGGATAGGCTATCATCTGAGATATATTACCAACCTAAAAAATACATAAATAATATACAGTACTGTATGTGAGCCAATATTTGGAAACAATCCATGGGCTATAGCCTTGGGTATTTTTCAGTATTTTGACGTTTTCTTAAATGGCCGTAACTTGAAAAATTCAAGTCAGAATCATCTCAAACTTTCTACACAGCATAAGGACATCAATGTGTATCAAAATATGAAATAAAAATTTGGGGTGATTTTTTGGCCATTTTTTGGAAAAAACCATGGACTATATATAGCCTTGGGTATTTTTCAGATTTTTGGTGTTTTCTTAAAATGGCCGTAACTTGAAAAATTGAAGTTGGAATCTCCTCAAACTTTCTACACAACATAAGGACATCAATATGTACATGTAGACGTACAAGAATATACATTACATGTTACATCTTACAAACCTTCCATATTGATCTTTGTTTAGTAACTGGATCAAGGAATAAGTTTTTAGACAGTCTTTCTTGAAAGGCAGTTTTAATCTGTGACACCATCTCACTGATATTATCTTTAGTACCTGATGATGATAACAATAATAATATTTACATTCACCTAGTAATAATAATAATAATAAATAACAACAACAACAACAATAACAACAATAATAAATAGTAATAATAATAATAGTCCCTCACCAGGTGCTAGTACATAGTCAGTGTAAAGTCTTGATACTGTCATTGGTACGATGTCCTCCAGTGAACTGACGCAGGTTAAGTACCTCTCTCTCTTGCCACTGCCCAGTACGCTGGTGGTATACTGGTAATACGGAGACAGGAACTGGTCGCCAAGGTATTCTATATACTGGAGGACCAGATGCCACTTGAAATAATTCTCAAAAACACTAAAAGATAATAATAATAATAATAATAATATTATTATTATTATTATTATTATTATTATTTACGTTTCATTATAATTAATGTATACTAGTGACAGGTTTTTAAAGTACGAGGGGGTCCTGACATTAATTATAATATCATCAGACCCTATGTCTCCTAATTGAGCTGTTTTAAAGCTTTCAAGTATGTACTGGGTCCAATTAAACTGTAAACAACAACAATAAACAACAATAACAACAACAATAATAATAATAATAATAATAATAACACGTACTTGTGTCCAGAGTGTTGAGTTAGCAAGCTCCGTCAGGTTGTAAAGGTTATAAGTTGCTTGAGGATCTCGTTAATAATAATAATGGAGATAAATGAGATCTAAAATGAAATAATAATGAAATAGTCATGGAGATAAAGCATAAACATACCTGTATTTGTCCAAAATAACAAATGCTGTTTGGCTACTACATGTATCTATAGACTATACTATAGCATCAGTAGCCAAATCACTACTAGTGTTAATAGTACATAGTATTGGCTACTATTACCATACTATAGCTAATACATCTCGCGTGACCATGAAGTAACGTGTAGTAAGAAAATTTCCTGCAAAGCACTGTAAACTTAGTTAAACATCTAAAAGTAGTTCTGGAGTTTGGAAGTTAACATGAATAAACAAGTGGAAGCCTCAGCAGTACAAGAACTTTTTGAAGATGTGAATACAAAGCTGCCTCTTATTAAAAGTGCTTATGAAGAGGCTGTTTGTGATATGCAAGAGTTATCCAGTGAAACAGCAGAAGGGCTAAAGGAAATACGTAAAAATGATAGAGTGAAGAAGATACCTGAAGTAAAAACTTTCTATCAAAATTTGAGCACTTTCAGTCAATCCTTTCATGAATACCTGGATAAAGTTAACAAGCTTTATCAGAAACTACAGGATGAGATCTCTACTGTAACAAAAGATGTTGAGCGAGAGAAATACAAGAGTACTGAAGAGCTGATTGCTGAAATTCACAAAATAATTCAAGATTGTAAGCTACAATATAAACTACTTCTTGGCCGTTTTAAGAACTTGTATGCAAGTTGCGATCTAGCTAAAATAAAGTGCGAGGAACTTGAAAAAAAAAAAGAAAATTTAAAGGAAACTGGCAAAATTGTCAAAGAAGGAGCGGAAGTCTTTGGTGATGGAGCAGCAGCAATAGTAGATGAGTTACCTATATATGCTAAACTAGTTGGAACTGGTGCTATTGTTGAAACAATTAAAACAGCCAAATCAGCTACAGTATTTGCAAAAGACATAGTTACTAAAAAAAGCAAAAGAACAAGCTACTCCATATGGTGAAGCAGTTAAGTCATTGAGTAGACTACGGAAAATAGCTGAGAAACTCAAGATTGACCTGGAGACAGTACAAAAGGAGATAAATAAGATTGGACTAGATGACACACGAATCTTAGTGAAGTAAACACAGAATAGCATTGTCTAATACTTTTGCAGTTTTTCTGTGTGCATATACATACTGATATGTACAGTATATATGTGTGTACTAACATTATTGCATTCATGTCTTTGAACATTTGAATATTAATGTATATAACATTATAATATATTAATGTATATAATTCTATCATATGTTATGCAAATGACACCACTTCCTCACATACCTGTTAGTGGTGTAGCAGGATTTTTGAAAGAAAGGGAGCAAGTTCTTTGGCATTTGAAGCACGCTACACAACTTTACAAACCCATGCTCATTTAAGGTGTGACCATACCTCTTTTTCTACATGGCAAACCAGTTTTTCCTTCCAAATCCAAAAGCACTTTATTATTTTGTTAATTTGAAATTTTAATTTTTAAAAGGGGAGCATTTGCCCCCTTGGCCCCCTGGCTACGCCTCTGCCTGCAGTGAATATATATTTAAAATCATTATGATTGTAAGTGCTGTTTCTGTATGATTAGAAGAACTATAACTAAATTATTATGGCTGAAGCTTCTGACATACAAAATTTGGAAAGAAATTTTGAAAAATTAAATGACAATCTGCCAGAGATTGCAAAGGCTTTTAGCAAATCAGTTTCTGAAGTCAAAGAGTTGGTGAATGAAGCAACAACTGAGCTACAGGAAATACGTGAGAGCCATGAAGTAAAGAAGATACCTGAAGTAAAAATTTCATATCAACATTTGAAAAATGTTAGTACATCAGTTACAAAATACTTAGAAAAAGTCAGTGAGCTATACCAGGCACTCCAGAATAAGACTCCTGGTGTTATTCAAGGCATCAAAAATAAGGATTTCGAGGAGAGTGCTGAACTGTTTATTGGTAATATTGACAAAAGAATAGAAGATTGCAACAAAGAATATAAATCACTAATTGAATGTTGCGATATATTTTCCGATAGTTGTAACAGTGCTGAAAGAGAGTGTGACAGGCTTGCAAGAGAAAAAAAAGAAGCAAACAAGAGCACGAGTAGCTGGAGGAGCAACTACTGTAGGAGCAACAGTAGCAGTAGGGGCTGGTGGCATAACAGCATCAATAGTAGCTGGCATATTAACTGGTGGAATTGGATTCGCTGTTGTATTACCTATTGCTATAGGAGCAACAGCAGCTACTACAGTTGCAGCTGGAGCAACGACTGCAGTGGTTTCACACAAATATGGTAAAGCAGCTGAGTCATTTCGTAAACTAGGTAGAAGGTTTCGCTGTCTTCATAAAGATATAAGCACAGTACAAGACAAGATAAATGCAATTGATCTATCAATGAATATTGACAAATACAAAGCAATAAAAAGAACGATAACTGCTAAAATAAAAAGTATGACAGCTGCTGAACGTAACAAACTCACTGAAACTTTGAAGAAGACTAAGGAACTAGCTAACGATTTATCACCTGAGATTGCTATTGGATTAAATAATGCTGAAAATGCTGTTGATCATATACAGAGACAGATTGACAGTACATTTTAAATTTTATTCAAACTGTAATTACAACATAGATACATGTAAATGTATTAATTTTGTATACTGTAGATGTGAGTTAAACAACAGAATGTTTCAAGAATTAATGTACCAATAATAAAATTGACCCTTCGTTAAATACATGTATAATTACTTACATCATACATGTACATGCATGAACAACAAAGTCATGTACATGTAACCTAAATCTTTTAACTACCACAATTATTATTCAATAGTTACACTGATAATCTAACTAAAATATACATAATCTTAAAAAGGGTAAAAACTCACAAAAGCGTGAATGCAGCGGAGGAGTAAAACTTAAATCAATGAACGAGTGCAATATAGTCATAAAGATAAAGCATAAACATACCTGTATTTGTCCAAAATAACGAATGCTGCTTGGCTACTACATGTATCTATAGACTATATTTTAGCATCAGTAGCCAAATCACTACTAGTGTTGATAGTACATAGTATTGGCAGCCACAATCAATTACTATAGCATAACATAATTTTTAGCATCATCAAGCAACATCAACTGGCCATACTGACACAGAAAAGTTTTATACATAAAACATGCCAACATCAAGTCTAAGCCCCATTTACACAACTATCCTTTAAAAATAGACATTTTAAAATAGACATTTTAAAAATAGAGACATTTTAAAATGCATATTAATGCATATAGGCTGGCTATACTATGACAGCTGCTAGTCTCGCGTAGCCAGCCCTCGAGACAGCTACTGGCAACTTGTTGCTAATCACTAGTTATGCCTCATTGCCACGGCCTATAGCTGTTATAAACAAATTCCTATTAATCCCCAGAAAGGAGAAACAATAACACAGTAAATAGTATCATGTAATAGTAAATAGTAAAAGCACAAATGAGAACAAGAACATGCTTTCATTTACAAACCATCACAAACCAATCCACAATCTATGAACTAAACTTGTTCTTGTATTGTGTGGTCTGCAAGGTCTATGCAAATGTACATGCAGCTTAATAGTCACTTAATAAATGTAATACAAATACTCTAAATACAATAATTAAATATACAAAATTTATTTATACCAGGGAAAGAACTAACAAAAATAATAATTGTTCTAATATATGGCAGCTAATTAATGTTTAAAATAATACTGAATATTACTTTAAGTAGCAAGTTAGTAGTTGCAACTTGCTACGGTTACCAGAGGTCACACTTCTTGCTCGGATTCATAGGTGCAGTGTCAGCACATTTAAAAGTAGAAGAAAACTCCTCACTGTTGGAGAGGGCACCTATAGAATTGAAATTAGTGAAAATTAGATAGTACTGGTTAAGGAATTCATCGGAAGGGGCTGGCCCCATAACTATATGGACCACTTTTCTTTTTGTTCGTCAAAGACTAGATCATCTTCACACAGTATTGACAGTAAATTATGTCACAAATTCTCATGCTCCTCTCACCATTCTTTTTTTACTCGTTTTCCTCATTTATGGAACTACCTCCCAACTATAGACCTGAACAAATCACTTAATGTAATTAAAAAGGAACTAAATAAATTTTTTATGTCACACTTTCAAACAAATTTTGATTCCACTAATCACTGTGAAATGAAAATGAAAATGAAAATGCTATGAAAATGAGGTCTACCCTGGAAGAAAGTGTAAATTTGTACAACGAGACATCTCGTGGACTCAGAATTGCTGAACAGGTTAAGATAGACTTATTAATGCTAGATCTAGATCTAGATATGTATTGAGTGATTTAACTTTAAATAGAATTTAATAAAATTTCTTCATGCACATACCATTCAAACTTCACTTGAACTTGTTATCACTAATTATTTGAATGAGTGATCAGTGTTTCAATTCATTAACCACAGTCGTATCTAGGTGGACCACACATCACATGATCCTTAAAGCTTCGAGGCGCTTCGCTGGTCTGCTGGCTACATACACTGCTACCTCGACTGCTACAGCTACTTCCATGTTCTCTGCTGACCTGTAAATGGCATCTAAATTAGCTACAGCCTCAAAATTAGCTCCAGGTTCTTCTTCGGCTAAGAATCAACTTAAAAGTAAATTTTAGTTTGCTACTTCTTATTTTATGGTATGTTATATAATTGTTTTAGTTATTGATCTTGCTGAGGTACTCCAGTTACTCAAGAGACACGGTTATTCAGGAGATAGATTCTTTGATCTTGGTCTTTATCTTGGCCTATCTCCTGCTACACTAAATGTCATCACATTGAATCATAAAGGAGATATCGAGACCTGTCTACGTGAGTGTCTTACTAAATGGTTAAAGAAAGCTGATAATGTACAGAAGACTAAAGGTGGTCCTACTATCTATTCATTGGTATCAGCATTGAGGGAATTAGGAGAGAATCGAGTAGCTGATGGAATAGATATGGAGAGTAAGCAAAATGAGTATAATCAAGAGTACTAAACCCTTATGTACTCTTGGTATAATTTATTATACCCCTGCCACACATAAGGCATACAGGTGAAAAACCCTGTCAGTAACTACCGATGAACTATCCTGAGTCTAGTTTGGCCAAGTAGCTGCTATTTTAAAAATTAAAACTGCCTGAAAAATAAGGTAGATAATACGTCATGTCTGACTAGTCTCGCGATGCCAGACTCCACCCCTTTCTGACATTTGGACGGTCCTACCCCGCTGTCCAAATGTCAGAAAGGGGTGGAGTCTGGCATCATGAGACTAATGTCTGACATGCAAGTATAATTAGTATAAAGTTTTCTTGAGGCAGTGAGACCACACCTGGCATTACATGTGGTCAAGAGTACATAATACTAAAGAGAGTATCGAACGGCCCTATACAAGCTGCTGCATGAGGACGTATTTACTCAAAGTCACAATCTGCATACTCCAGTATACTTAATCAATGAATATAATTATCGCGTAGACATCGAGTTGCCATTGTCACGAGTTGGCAAGTGCTTGGGGCACAAACTCCTGGATACTAGCAGGGCTGCCTTTGTAGTTCATCTTTTCAGTCTTTTTTCAAGTTCCTTTCTTGTATTGGAGGAGATTGCCAAGTTTTCAAAAGCTAAGGGCCAGATAATGTTGCCACATGATTGATCACGTGATGTGGTAAGTATACTGGAGTATGCGGATTGTGACTTTGAGCAAATATGCCGTCATGTAGCAGTCTGCTATAGGGACGTTCAATACTCTCTTTAAATATTATGTACTCTTGATGTGGTATAATTTATTTATTCCTAGAGCATCCTGCTTGCAGAATTCTTGCTCATCACACTACAAATCGATCTCTTGTGACTGCATTACCTCAGTTGGCCACAGTGTTATATCTAGACAAAGTTATAAAAAAGGAGATGCAGACTGTAAAAAGAACTCTGCTAATTCAATTAAGGGAAGCTGTTTGTATTGATAATCTCAAACTGGAAGCATTTGCTGTAATTTTATGTAGAAACAACTCCACTGCTAAAATAGGAAATGCTATTATTAAAGAATATAGTAAGTAACATACATTATTATGATATAAATTTAATATTTTTATAGAAGAGGTTTATTCCAGTGATGAAATTATTAAAGCAAAAAACAACAATGGTATGAATTAGTAAATTATGTATTAAATATGATTAATAATAATTAGGTCTGCCAACAATTTATATTCCTTTGAGTGTTACTTCAGAGTTTAAGATGATGCGATTGAAATTGGCAGATACATTCTTTGAAGTGGGATCGAGTATGATGAACAATCCTAATTGTACCATTAATTATCTCAAATATGTATTGCGTCAATACAACAAAGCATTAAGGCCTCAGTTAGATCAGTGTGAAGATGTCCATGATATTCTAGAATTAGTCTGTGATAGTTGTCCACTTGATGACATCAGTGTGCTGGAGCATTTTGTTAATAAGTTCAATATAGAGGAGGCTAAGCGAGTTATTGAGGAATATAAAGAAGCTGTTGAGGAGTTCCGTGAAAAGAAACTTAGTGAATGTTTGAAAGAGCAGTTTTCAAGAGCTTCGCCACTTAAGTGTGAAGAGATTACCATTGTCATTGATGAAGATGCTGATGACTTTACACTTAAAGATGTTAAGAGGTTGTCATTAGCTGTATTTGAAAATTTATCGCAACACGTTAAATTGAATGTCATTATAGAGGGTTCTATTACAATCACTTGTTCTTTCCCATTGATTCTATCTGAGCAGCTAATTACAGTTGCTCAGGGTAATATTGCTATATTGAGAGCTAATCAAGTGAAGAGACTAACTATTGGATACTGCACTGTGTATGAGGTGAGTATAGACTATACACTGCATGAACTGATTGTTATTGTCAATTTAACAGGTGCATGAAATTGGATTTCGATCAGGTATAAAACATAAAATTAATATTCTTAATAATTAATTAATAAATTATATTCTATAGATGAACAACAGTTTCCCTTATCATTATCAACTGATAGTGGTTTACTCAAGCAACTGATGGTGTCACTGACTGTACAACTGATCAATAGTGAAGAAAAGGTGTCTTATGAGGTATGTGTGTGATTGGAAGACAATATTGTATATTTACATATAATCTGGATTCTGGAAACACCCCTACTAATGGGTAATAAGTGTATAGGCAGTAAGTACAATGTGCTTATGCCCAACAAACGTCGTAACAGTGTAAAGATATTCCTATAATTGATTTCACCACCTTGCATGCATAGCTGGGCACTTATTAAGACTTATAGAGGTCCTCTTTACCTTCAAATACTTCTAGAGAAGTTTATAAACAGTATCTCTAAGTTCTCTTGCTGTTAGAAAGCTCATAACTTTGTCCCGTGAGCAATCCGCCATTTTGTTTGCCGTGGCCACACCCACTTACGTAAGTAGCGTGGGCGGGTGGTTGCTAAGGCTTGTTATTTCTCCAATACAACATGTATAGAAACTCTTTGCCTGACAATATGCAATTTGTTATAGAACTACAACAAGGTAATAACAATTAATAAAAAAGCAATTACTATGCCTCTTTTTAGGGCAAACACGTGTGTTTTACAGGAAACCACACCTTCTTGGCAGAAATTGGTATTGAATAATATTAGTGGTAAAATAGAAACCATAGGAAACAATAGAAAAGTGAAAGAATGCTTTGTCGGCACTTTGATATAATTGCTATTCAACACTTATTTTATTTTATTTTATTTTATTTTTGCAAAAAGTTGACTATTCGTTGATGATATTGGTTGAGTCATTGATTGAATGAAATCTAACACTAATGGAGTTTGTAAAAGCAATGAAACTGGTTGTAGTAAATGCAGCAGCTAAAATCTATGTAGGTGCAAGCAGTTTAGGTGCTTTGGAGCACTTTTAAGTGAATGGAATAGAATTTGCCGGTCTACTGAGAGCTCTTGAAAGGCACAAAGATACTCTATGAAAAACAATCAAAATAGCTGATTGGGTGTGGTCAAGAGGTGTGGCGTCCAAAAATGCACCTGATTTGAGTGGTTTCCATGACAACATAAATAATTCAAAATGTCCAAAAGACTAATTTTTATGAATTTCGTTGTGTAAGGAAAAGGGATAGAAGAAATGTAAGTGTGGACATACAAATAAATAAATATATAGATAGCGCGCCAGTGAAATCAATTATAGGAACGACCTGGGGGCAAAGCCCCCAGGTCGTTAAAAACAGAACAGAAAGCTAAACTAAAATAAAATACGAAACAAAAACAATAACAACAATATGCCATCCACTTGGGGAGGCAAGATGGAAGTGCAACCCAACCACATTTAAGCGTTGAATCGCCATAAAGTTACAGACAACCTCTGAAAGAGATGGAGAGTGGGTTATTATTATTATTATTATTATTATTATTATTTTATTATTATTATTATTATTATTATTATTATTATTATTATTTGATAAAGGGAAGAGAAGTCAAAAAAGGGGAAAGAATGATTATTATTATTATTATTATTATTATTATTATTATTATTATTATTATTATTATTATTATTATTATTATTATTATTATTTGATAAAGGGAAGAGAAGTCAAAAAAGGGGAAAGAATGATTATTATTATTATTATTATTATTATTATTATTATCAAGAGTACATAATCTACAGAGAGTGTCTAACCATACTATAATAGCTGAAACATCACCGCGTAGCCTTTTCTTGTGCATCTTTTGGCATTCCCGCATACTGGGTGTGGCTGAGTAGGAAAAAATGGCTGCCAAGTTTGCTCAACAAGGTTTACTGGCTGTTTTGGTGCCTCTGCTATAGCAGTACTGCATATCAGACTTCAGCAGCATTATAAAGTGTACTAGTATGATGTCTAAAGCTTCTTCAAGTTTTCTCCACTGTTTTTATGTTAACTTCTACACGTGTTTTTTAGTAAGTACACCCACGCTTCTGGTCTCATGTGACTTAGTTCTACGCGGTCATGTTTCAGCTACTATAGTGCGGTTAGACACTCTCTGTAAATTATGTACTCTTGTTATTATTATAACCCAAAAACAAGAACTAATTAGAGCTAATAATAGAGAAAAACATTATTATTATTATTATCAGACACAAAGTGGGAGACAAAAGAGAAACAAAAAGGGAAAGCCCATAGGGAAAGAAAAATAGAAAAGAAAATAAGGGACAAAACAGAGAATAGGAAAAGAAAAAACCAGAATAAAATATAGCAAAATAAAAACAAAACTATTATTATTATTATTATTATTATTATTATTATTATTATTATTATTATTATTATATGAAATTTAAAAAATTAATGTCAGGTCAGGTTAAGTTTTAAAATGAAAATAAGAATAGCATCTCTGAATTCCTGAGAGGATAGATTAAAGCTATCTTTCTGGACAGGTAAGGCATACAACCAGTGTGATAGAGAATCTCTAGATCGTATTTAGCTTCGCCCCCAGGTTGTTAAAAAAAACAGATACAAAAGAGACCCGGCACTTAATAAAAACAGTTGGTGTAGTTTACAGAACGACAGCTTCTTCTCTGTTAGATTTGTTTTTTTGCCACTGGAAGTGATGTTGTAAAACAACACGTTAGTCAAAGCAGTTAATTAAAGGGCGGAGACCAAACTAAAAGGAAGATCTGGGGGTTCGCCCCAGGTCAAACACTGTGGCAGTTGTATTATTGTAGTTTGAATCCATTTTCTTGTATCTCATAGGAAAGTATGACATTGGAGAGAGAAGCAGAGTCCCTCATTCAAAAGCTGGATGCTAAAATAAAGATTCTGGGTGACCGTAGAGCAGAAAGTGATGAGTTTAAAGGTATTAATTGATGTTAATTTCATAACTTTATTTATTTTATTTAGACGAGTTTGAGGAGTTCAAGGAAATGAAAGAAATATTAGAAGAACAGCTTGTTGTGCCAGCTTTTAAAGTGAAAAATTTTTTTGAAGATATAACTGAAAAACTACCTAATATTGCAAAGGCTTTTAATAATTCAGTTACTGATACTAAAGAGTTAGTGAGTGAAGCAACAGAAGGGCTAAAAGTAATACGTAAACATAAAAAAGTGAGAGAGGTATATCAAGTGAAGGAATCGTATCGATCTTTGAGTAAGGCAACAGAAGCAGTTCACACTTACCTTGATAAAGTGAATGGACTGTATCAACTACTCAGTGAACAGACTCCTGACGTAATGGAAGATATTGAGAGTGGAGAATTGAAGAGTACTGAAAAATTTGCTGCTGAAATTGAAGAAATATTAAAAAATAGCAGTTATGATTACGAAATACTTCGAGACTGTTTTAAGGAATTTGCCACAAATTGTGATAACGCTCAAATTGAGTTGACAAGACTCAAAAAACAAGCACAATTTATACAAGCAACAGCAGCAGCAGGTGGACTAGCAGCTGGGGGTATAGCAGCATCATTACTAGTTGGAGTATTCACTGCTGGAATTGGAGCTGCTGTTGGTGTACCTCTTACCCTAGCAGCAACTGCAGGAACTGCTACAGGAGTCGCCATAGCCCTTAAATTTCATATCACAGCTGCAACATTTCGTAAAATGAATGAAAGACTTGAGAAACTTAGGCAGATTGAAAGAATGCAATATTTGCTGAATGAGATTCATCTAACAAACAAACAAATAAAGAAAATGACACCCGATGAATGTAAAAACCTTGCAGAAACAATGAGGTCTATTCTAAAAGAAAGTATAAGATTATACAATGAGATATCTCGTGGACTAGAAATTGCTGAAGGGATTAAGGTAGCTTTTAGTAGTGAAGTTGACAGTACATTTTTTTCAATTTAATTACCTTTATTAATGCTATGTATTGCTGATGTCTTGTACTCTTGCTAAATAGAATTATGTATACATGGTAGAAATAGAATGTACTGATTGTGTTAGATTTTAATGGTTAAATTTAATTTTTATTATGGGTCTACAATATCTGATCAATAGTGTTTGTATAACTGCAACTGATTTCAACTGATGCGTGGGTGGCTTTTTTACAAGATTAAAAATTATCACTTCATTTGCGTGGGAGGCAAATTGTTGAGCCCTTGCCTCTTCCTCTTGTTAGCAGCTTTCACCTGTGTCCAAATGGCCTCTTTTCCTTCTTCTCCTGACTGAGCTGGAAAGTAAGTGATTGGTTCTTTATTTCTTGTTTTAAAAGCATCATTACATTATTAGTTGATGATCTTGCTGAGATACTGCAGTTACTCAGAAGACAGGGTTATTCAAGAATCAAATATTATGATCTTGGTCTATCTCCTCCTACACTGGATGTCATCATGCTAGATCATAAAGGAGATATTGAGAGCTGCTTACGTGAGTGTCTCGCTAAATGGTTACAGAAAGCTGATAATGTACAGGAGACTAAAGGTGGTCCTACTATCTATTCATTGGTATCAGCATTAAGGGAATTAGGAGAGAATGGAGTAGCTGATGGAATAGATATGGAGAGTGAGTTAGAACAACTTGATGTAACTTTGACTTATTAAAATTTTTAGAGCATCCTGCTTGTAAAATTCTTGCTCGTCATACCTCACACCAATCTCTTGTGACAGCATTACCTTCATTGGCTGCATTGCTGTATTGGGAGTATGTTATAAAGGAGGAGATACTAAGTATCAGCATAGAGGTTTAGCTGGTTCAAATAAAGGAAGCTGTTTGTACTGAACATTTCAAACTTGAAGTGTTTGCTGGTATTTTATGTCAATTCAAAGCCACTGCTGAGATAGGAAATACTATTATGAGAGAATACAGTAAGTTTATTGTAGCATAAACAAATATCAAATGTTTTATAGGAAACATCTTTTTCAGTGATGATCTCATTGACAATGGCAAAGGTAAGAATTTGATATTTATTATCTGAATAATAATTATTATTATTATTTAAAGTCCTGAAAATATATCTACCTATGAGTGTTACTTCAGAGTTTAAGATGATGCGATTGAAGCTTGCACATATCTTCTTTGAAGTGGGATCAATCATGATGAGCAATCCTCAGTATCCAACCATCAGTTATTTCAAATATGTACTGGGTTTATATGATGAAGCATTAAGGCCACAATTAGCTCAGTGTCGGGATGTCCGTGAAATTTTACAATTAGTTTTTTATCATTGTCAACTTGATGATATTACCCCACTGGAGTATTTCATTAATCAGTTCAATATAGAGGAGGCTAAGCCAGTTATTGAGGAATACAAAAAGGCTGTTGATGAGTTTAGAGAAGTGAAACTTAGCCAGTGTTTGAATCAACTGTTTTTGTATGGTTCGCCACTTAAGTGTGAAGAGATTACTATTGTCATTGATAAAGATGCTCAAGACTTTACACTTAAAGATGTTAAGAGATTGTCATCAGCTGTATTTAAAAGCTTATCGCAACATGTCAGGTTAATTGTTATTAGAGAGAGCAGTTCTTTCACTATCATTTGTTCCTTCCCATTGATTCTATCTGAGCAGTTAATTACAATTGCTCTTAATAATATTGATGTATTGAAAGAAAACAAAGTGAAAAAATTAACCATTGGATACTGCACTGTGTATGAGGTGAGTATAGACTGTTATTATACTTTCATGAAGCATATCAAATCTGCAGGTAAAAATTGATGATGCTTTCACTTCAACTATATTGAGATCAGGTAAGTATAACTATAAATGCATGTCGTCTGTACTTAAATGTTTTCTAGATAAAGAGCAATATCATACCACATCAATATCAGCTAGTAGTGATTTATCAAAACAATTGATGTTATCATTGAATGTACAACTAATTAATAGTAAAGAAGAAGTTAATGCTTTGAATGAGGTATGACAATATTACATTATTGTTAATGTTTGGCTTCATTTCTTGTGTGAATTTATTTTAATATTATTTACTTCACTTATAACTATTGCTTAGGAAAATAAGAGACTGATGACAGAAGCAGAGTCATTGAAGGACTTACTAGATACTAAAAATAAGATCATTTGTGCCAGAATAATAGAGTATGACATGTTTAAAAGAAAAGCAGGTATATAATCACTCTTTATAATGATGATTTATTATAAATTAGAGGAGTATAGGGAGAAAAATGACATATTAGAAGAGCAACTTGCTTTATTTCAGTCAGAGAAAGAAAGTAAATGATTATAATATTGACAAAGTGTACACATCCATGACAAACTTAACTAAGTATACTACACTCATGCATATAAAAATATTAAAATAATGCTCTGTTTATATCTATTACAATTAGGTAAAGTGGCTGATGAAATACCAGCCTATAAAGTACAAATTTTTTTCGAAGATTTAAATGTAAAGTTACCTCGCATTGCCGGCTCCTTTAATACAATAATTACTGAAACTAAAGTACTGGTAGATGAAGCAACAGATGGCCTAGAGGTAATGCGTAGATACAAGGAAGTGAGGCAAATACCTCAAGTAAAGGAATCTGTTAAATGTTTGAAGAATGCTATTGCAGCAGTTTACACATATCTTGATAAAGTTAATGGCCTGTATCGGATACTTGAGAAGCAGATTCCTGATATAATAGAAGACATTGAGAGTGAAGAATTGAGGGGTATCGAATTATTAGCTTCTAAAATTAACAAAATAGTTCAATCTTGCAAAAATGATTATACAACACTTGTTGAGTGTTTTAGGGAATTTGCTACTAGTATCAATGTAGCTCAAATTGAGTTAACAAGACTCAAAGAGGAAGCAGAAGCTAAAAGGAGAAATGCAATAGCAATATCTGCTGCTGCAGCTACTACAGGATTAGTACTAGGTATATTTACTCTTGGAGCTGGAGCAGTTGCTAGTGCAGCATCAACTGCAGCAAGAGCTGCTGCTATAACAGCCTTGGCATACTCTATAGCAGCATATGGTACTGCAGTTGAGTCATTTGATAAGACCAGCAGTAAAAGATTTAAGGCTGATCAGTATGAACTGATCCAGAATATGATAGATGGGATTAATCAAATGATGAAAGAGAATGCAAGAATAGGGAGAATGACACCCAATGAACGTACAAATCTTGGAATGACAATGAGGTCCACTCTGGAAGAAAGTGTCAAGTTATACAAGGAAACATCTTGTGGATTAGAAAGTACTGAAAGGATTAAGAACACTTTCACTAGAGAAGTTGACAATACATTTTATGATTAATTATTGATTGTGTTAATTACATAAACTGCAATATAGTGTTGCAAATTGCGTGTTAGTGGTGATTTTACTTTAAAATAAATAAAGCAAATTCCATTTAGAGATAAAGGTTACCTCTGTATAAAAACACCAGCTGTTACCGGCAGTACTATGAGTGACCAGTGTTTATATAAATGACAACCACTCACATAACTACAATCTAACCATAACGTACATACACACTTTACACAGTGTATTGAATCTATAGTATTGCAAAGTATAATACGAAGTATATTAATATCAACAAAGTGAAAAGACAGTATACTGCCGGATGTCAGTTTGTTTAAAAGGTGATCTTATCATTTTAGCAGAACTTTACATCAGGATGTAGGCATGGGCATAGTGTACTTTCACTATACTAATAGAAACCAGCCCCTCCCATTTTAATGTGGTTACAGCAATGGCCTCTACATGTATTTCTCCTCCAATAGGACCATATCCTTCAAAGGAGCTAAAAAGTAAGTGTATTTAGTTCCTATATATATACTATCTATTCATTGATATCAGCATTGAGGGAATTAGGAGAGAATATAGAGTAGCTGACGGAATAGATATGAAGAATGAGTGTACATTTGTTTTATTTATACTTATAGATTCTCCTAAGAGTGCTCTTCCTCATTATACAGCCTCAAGGCAGTCCCTTGTATCAGTCATGGCTGTATTCTTGTATCTTGCTAAACTAATGAAGGAGAAGATACTCAATCTGCCACAAGGAGAGCCACTGCTACGGGACATTAAGAAAAGTGTTGGTAACGACTATCAAAAAATGGAAGCATTTGCTGTAATTTTATGTAAAAGTACAACCACTGATGAATTAAAAAGTGCTGTAATGAAAGAATACAGTGAGTTTATTATTAGATACAAATAAATGTACCATTGATTATTAATAGGAGGGAATGATGAACTAATTGAGGTACATTATAACAATGGAGGGAAGAGCAGTACTGGGTATGATAGGATCACCATTGTCATTGATGAAGATACTAATGAAGCAATACTGAGAGATGCCAGGAGATTGTCATCAGCTGTATTTGAGGATTTATTGAAGGATGTCAAATTGAATGTCATTAGAGAGGGCAGTTCTTTCACCATCACTTGTTCCTTCCCATTGATTCTATCTGAGCAGTTGATTACAGCTCATGATGACATTGACAAGATATTGGAGGGTAACCAAGTGAAGAGACTAACCAATGGATACTGCATTAATGATACAATGGAATCAGGTTCAAGTGACCTTGTTCATTCTCATTCCTTTATACTGTGTATATTGTATTATAGATGAACAACAGTTTCCCTTGTCTTCAGCTAGTATTGGTCTACTCAAGCAACAGATGGTATCATGTAGTGTACTATATCATAATATTATAGATTCATTTCTTGTATCATGTACAGTTAGTTATACTTCATTCATTTCTTAGGAGAGTGGAACACTAATGGAAGAGGCTGAGTCATTAAAGGAAGTACTGGATACTAAGATAAAGATGATGAACAGTATAGCTGAGAGTGGTGAGTTGAAAGGTTTAACTTATGTTTTTAAATTTCTTTTAATGAATAAATTATCAGCTGAGTATGATGAATTGAAGGAAACGAAGGACATATTAGAAGAGCAGCTTGCCTCATTTCAATTAAGTAATTTATTTATAATTATTTTTTCACTATGAGTTTTTATCACTTTAATCTGTTACTAGGTGATCAAGTACCTCAATATGAAGTACAAGATTACTTTACACGTTTGAATGAAACACTACCACTCATGGCAACGGCTGTTAATAAACTAGTCTCTGATACCAAAGGACTGGTGGATGAAGCAACAAGTGGACTTGAGGAAATACGTGAACACAGTGAGGTGAAGGAGGTATCTCAAGTAAAGGAATCATATCGATCTTTGAGTAAGACGACAGAAGCAGTTCATAGTTACCTTGATAAAGTGAATGGACTGTATCGACTACTTAATGAACAGACTCCTGACGTAATAGAAGATATTGAGAGTGGGAGATTGAAGAGTACCGAACAGTTAGCTGTTGAGATTGAAAGAATATTACAAGACAGCACTCGTCACTATGAAATACTTGATGCCTGTTGTAAGGAATTTACTACAAACTGTAATTCTGCTCAACAAGAGTTGACGAGACTCAAAGAAGAACAGGAATCCAGAAAAAAAGCAGCAGCAATAGCTGCTGGTGCAACAGCAGCTGCTGGTCTACCAGCATCAATACTAATTGGAGCATTCACTTTTGGAATCGGAGCTGCTGTTGGAGCTGCTGTTACAGCAAGTGCAGCAGCAGCAGCTGCTACAGGATTAGCTGTTGCCACAGTCCTTGTAGCTTCAATTGGTAAGACAGTTGAATCATATTGTAAAATAGATGGAAGCCTCGGTAACCTTCAGTTTAAACTGATACAGGATATGGTAAAGGAGGTTCATCCAACAATTAACGAGAAAGTGAAGAGAATGACAGACACTGAATGTACAGATCTTGCTATGAAGATGAGGTCTACACTGGAACAAAGTAAAAGGTTATACAGTGAGACTTCTAGTGGAGTCAAAGTAGCTGAAGAGATTAAGAGAGCATTTGCTGACAAAGTTAGCAATGTATTTTGACATAATGACATTAATGATTGCTACCATTAATAAACTGCATATTAGAGTGTTGACATGTTAAATGAGGTTTTTTTCTAACTTTAAGAGGTGATGAACTGATGATATCCCCAGATGAGGGAGTCCAGTGTTGATATAACTGGATATTATGTGTGTACATGTACAAGTATCTGTGATGAGGAGTAGTGGCATCAAATAGTACAAACAGTGCAAGTTCAGTCTCAACTCCTCCCCAGTGAGTAATCAGTAGTTTAATTGTTGTCCAATGCTCATTTGAGCTAATGGAACATTGTTCAACAAAATGTGCAACAAATTTGACACACAACAGTGTGGTTTGTTGATTGGTGTGTGTGTGAATGCAGTGGAGGAGTCAAACTTGTAATTAATGAATGAGTGTATGTGTTTACAAATGATCAACAAGATAATAATTATACAGTATGGTATAGATGACCTTATTTAATAATCTACTCACAAATTAACATGTGGCATTCATGCGTAAACAACTACACGTAGATCAAGAGTAGATTATCTACTCTTGATAATGGAGACTAAAGCATAAACATAACAGGTATTTGTCCAAATATTGAATGTTTCTAAAGCTACTATCTATAGATATCTATAGACTGTACTTTAGCATCAATATACAAATCACTACTAGCGTTAATAGTACTTGTAGCTACACCTAGACCACACAATTAATTACAAGTTCGTGCTAACTTTAATTTCTGATTAATTTATTAACAGTTATTAATATTAAATGATCAAAAATGCTAAATTAAGTACCAGCCAAATGTCAGTATCATGAAAGTCACTAAAATAACTACAGGCTAACACGCTATACGTACACACTATTAATGTTTAGCATCATCAAGCTACATGTACATCAGCTGGCCATATTGACACAGAAATATTTGATAATAAAAGTGTCATACATGAAACATACACTACTACAGGTTTCTACTTAAAATAGAAACATTTTTATCGAATATGGGTCTCAAAATGTATATTAAATCTGAACAAAAAATGACTAGATAGGCTGGCTATAATCATAACAACTACTGGCAACTTGTTGCTAATTGCTAGTAGTGCCTAAGTGCCTATAGCTGTTCCAAACAAATTCCTATCAATTCCCAGAAAGGAGGAACAATACCACCACAATAACTACTGTAGTACATCTAAGCACAAATGAGAATAAGAACATGCTCAGACCTTGTAAGCCATCACAAGTCAATCTCTAAACTAAACTTGTTCTTGTATTGTGTAGTCTGCCAGGTCTATGGAAATACAGTAGCAGTACTAGTCACTAAATGAATAATTACTAACACAAATACTCTAAATACAATAATTAAATGTACAAAATTTATATAAAGGAAGAACTAACAAAAATAATAATTGTTCTAATATATGGCGGCTAATTAATGTTTAAAATAATACTATAATGACATAATTAATAATATTAGTTAGTTACTTTCAGCAGCAGCTAGTAGTTGCTATGGCTACCAGAGGTCACACTTATTGCTAGGATTCATTCGTGTATTGTCAGCACATTTGAAAGTAGAAGAGAACTCCTCACTATTGGAGAGGGCACCTATAACCCTGGGGGCATTAATTAGAAAGAGAGAGACAGCTAGGTTAAAATTAATGTACATGTATACATGCATTAGAAAAGGTAATGAAATCTCTCCCAGCCATTTTGATGAATTTTTTAAGCCAAAGACCATGTACATGTACATGTACATGTACATGTAGTACAGGGACTCTGGCCTGATTATAGAGCAACTTTATAAATTTGTCAAAAATCTAATTTTGATCGTAATCAGTGAATATATATGTACCTGTAAGGTCCTGGACTGTGTGGGTTGGTCTTCAAATTAGAGGCAATAAACTGAGGAGAGAATAGTGAACACCACACCTACAATAATATACTAATAATATACTGACAGTTTACTGATAATATACTGACCTGACCAAACGCTACAAAGAAGAGCTGATCAGGATTAAGATCAACAGAGGGTAGACTAGGAGGTGTGGTCGTACCAGCCACATTCTTATATGCTTGAAAGGCAGTCTTTACTCCTCCATTATCAGCAATATTCTCACCTTGGGTTAACTCACCATTGATCTAATGGGGGAGAGCAATTTCTATTATAAACTGTATGTATGGGGTCTAGTCTGTTAAATGATGATAATTATGTGTATATAATGATATTAATGATTGTATCTATTATTATACTGTAGATAGACTCTTAGTTGAATACTTGTATGATATAGAATACTAATAATATACTGATAGTATACTAACGTGATATCCAAACATTGAATATTGTGAATATTGCTCTACAAAGCATTTAGTTTTATTTTTGAATTTAGCAACTGAAGTATTAGTCCACCATGGGGTGAGGACACCATCTTGATTGTACTGCTGGCCTACGAAAAAACAATTAATAAATAATAATTAATAATTAAAAATAAACTAATTAATTACCTTGATCGTCAAAGCCGTGGGTAAGTTCATGACCTGCCACTACACCAAAAGCACCGTATTTGAAATAACTAATTAATAATAATAATAATAATAATAATAATAATAATAATAATAATAATAATAATAATAATAATAATAATAATAATAATAATAATAATAATAATGATGCATTAATGATTAATTAATAATCTTACTCAGGCCAGCCAGCATCAAAGAATGGAGAATTCAAAATGCCTTCAAGAAATACTGTGAGAAATAATAAATAAATAAATAAAAATAATAAATATATAAACAGGTTCTTACCAAACTCATTATAAAGTGGTTCATAGTAAGCATTAACTACAGTAGGGGCTATCTCCCACCTGTTGGTAGAGACACAGTATCAACCATCAGTCATTAGTACTGTACATGAATTGATCTTACTCTGTTTTAACGACTGGTTTCCCCAGCTTCTGAAGGTTCTCAGTGTTACCGTTAATCACATGATTAACAGCTGACATGAAGTACTGGCCACTAGCTTGTACTACAGAAGCACTTTTATTAAGTAAATAATTATTATCACTGATTTCATCAGGATAGGCAATCATCTGAGATATGTTACCAACCTAAAAAATACATGAATAATATACAGTACTGTATGTGAGCCAATTTTTGGAAACAATTCATGGGCTATAGTATATATATAGCCTTAGGTATTTTTCAGAATTTTGACGTTTCTTTAAAATGGCCCTAACTTGAAAAATTGAAGTCAGAATCATCTCAAACTTTCTACACAGCATAAGGACATCAATATGTATCAGAAAATGTAATAAAAATTTGGGGTGATTTCAGAGCCATTTTTTGGAAAAAACCATAGACTATAGCCTTGGGTATTTTTCAGATTTTTGGTGTTTTCTTAAAATGGCCGTAACTTGAAAAATTGAAGTTGGAATCAACTCAAACTTTCTACACAGCATAAGGACATCAATATGTACATGTAGACGTACAAGAATATCCATTACATGTTACATCTTACAAACCTTCCATATTGATCTTTGTTTAGTAACTGAATCAAGGAATGTATTCTTGGACAGTCTTTCTTGAAAGGCAGTTTTAATCTGTGACACCATCTCACTGATATTACCTTTAGTACCTGATGATAATAAATAACAACAACAACAACAACAACAACAACAATAATAAATAGTAACAATAATAATAGTCCCTAACCAGGTGCTAGTACATAGTCAGTGTAGAGTCTTGATACTGTCATTGGTACGATGTCCTCCAGTGAACTGACACAGGTTAAGTACCTCTCCGTCTTACCACTGCCCAGTACGCTGGTGGTATACTGGTAATACGGAGACAGGAACTGGTTGCCAAGGTACTCTATATACTGGAGGACCAGGTGCCACTTGAAATAATTCTCAAGAACACTAAAAGATAATAATAATAATAATTATTATTATTATTATTATTACTTACCTTTCATTATAATTAATGTATACTAGTGACAGGTTTTTAAAGTACGAGGGGGTCCTGACATTAATTACAATATCATCAGACCCTATGTCTCCTAATTGAGCTGCTTTGAAGCTTTCAAGTATGTACTGGGTCCAATTAAACTGTAAACAACAACAACAACAACAACAACAATAAACAATAAACAATAATAATAATAATAACACATACTTGTGTCCAGAGTGTTGAGTTAGCCAGTTCCGTCAGGTTGTACAGGTTGTAAGTAGCTTGAGGATCTCTCAGGGCAACGTTACTGACAAATATCTAATGAAGAATAAAAATACAACATTAACTGATGATAAATTCCACAGATATACTGTACATAAATATGTATAGCTATAACTAATCAATAATCTATTAATAGTAACAATTAATGATCTATTAATAGTAACAATTAATGATCTATTAATAGTAACAATTAATGATCTATTAATAGTAACAATTAATGATCTATTAATATACATGTACATGTACAGTGTATGTACCTCAGCAAGGCTGGTTTCCAGGTCTATTATCTGATCTGCAACTTGTTCAAATCCACTACCAGCAGCAGCTGCTCCAGTCCCTCCATTAGTATTATTAATCAGTGAGAGTATTGACACTATGAACTGCTTCAAGGCTGGGATGGTCTACAAATATATTATCATTATTAAAAGACCACACCCAGTCCATTAATTAGATTCATACCACATTGGCTGCACTGGGATCAGTATAGGAATCAGGACTTGGTAGCGTCAGTCCAGACTGGGATAACTAGCAATTAATAATTAATAATGACCACACCCACTAATTAGTCCCATTCCCTACCACTGGAATGTATTGTGATGAGTTCTTGTCGTTTACTGAAATACCAAAAGAGAAGAACCCATCATTACCGTAAGACTTAGAGGACCTGAAATCAGCTGAGAATAGCGACCACTGGGGGGCGGAGCCTATTAATAATAATAATAATAATAATGTGGCTACATGCATTCCATCTACACTAGAGTGAGTTTACAAAATAGAAACATTCTATCAGCCAAATGAATCTAATTCAATGAACTGTAGTACAGTGTGTAGCACTACATGATAGTACAGACTAGCTTTGCTATAATGGACACTGTGTCTCTGTTATACAGAGGTGTCCTTTATGTGGAGGTTATTTTATACAGTAAGGAATGTAATTGGTACACTAGGTGCTGTCCGTTAAATGGAGTTGTACGCTATAGAGAGTGTCCATTAAGAGAGGCTACATTGTAATAATCAAATTAACAGTAACAACACAGGAAAGGATTTAAATATACTGTAGTACCTGTAGTACATACTTATGATGATTAGAATTACATTATAGGGAGGAAGGGAGAGATATCTAAAAGTGTTATTGATTGTATAAACACTAACACTGAGTTGTTTATTTATGTATAAAGATACACAAACAGGAAAGCATAATGAAATTAAGTACAAGTACTGTATGAGGCTTAAAGGGTAAACAAGATAATAGTAAGGTTTATCAATAAATAAATAAATAAATAAATAATGATAAAAATAATAAAAATATTGATAAAAACACAGAACATGTACTATACATGTTCTAAAATTAGTAACGTACTATTCATAACTCCGACAAGGTCCCAGCCTCCCGTGAGACTCAAAAGGTTCCTAATCGGTTCCGCTCCTTTAGCAGTGAGTCCGTCAGTATCCATACAGGACTCATAAAGTTTCCTAGCCAATTTCACAGCATCCACGTCACTCAACTTCATTCCATCAAGGAGCTTTTTTATTGCAATGTTGTTCCGCTGGTTCAACTCATTAAAGAGCCCCCAAGATCCGTAACCAGAGGGTATCACGTTAGCCGCCTCCCATCCTCCACAGGAGTAATTATAAAAGTCCTGACAGGGATCAACGCTAGTGTTCATGAACTGGAGGACATTTGAAGCTAGTTTGATGCAACTGGGGCTGGTACAAACGTTAGTCTGTGAGTTACTGCTGGAGGTGGCCTGTAGGTGAGTTATCCTGACGCTTAGTACAGCAATGGCGGCTAGAGCAGCAAGGAGGAGTGCTGTGGGTATCAGTATGGCTAGAGCTACTATCAGTTTACAGGAGGCACTGGGGCCCTTGGAGGAGCGACCAGACAGTAGGTGCTGCTCGTCCTCCATTCTCTCTCCCTGTATGTTAGTAGACATGAAGGAACCTCCTCTTCCTTTATAAAGAAATGCTAAGAGGAACTTGAGGAAGGAACGAGAAAAATGGCGGAAAGGAAATCACTGAAATCAGCAAATGGGTGTGGCTTAAAGTAAGACACACCCAGATTAAATTAGCTCAATGTAGGTGTGGTTTAAGGCTAAACCACGCCCACATGCCAGCTTATTATTTTCCAGAAAGAAGTATCTTCATAGAAAGAAGGCCATAGACTATAGACCAGTGTCTTTAAGAGGACCCTCTCACTGTTAGTGGAAGGTAAGTGCATTAGTTAATACACTGCATTAGTTAATTATTAATTATTATTATTAATTATCACCTCTGCAGGTGAGCTTCAAGATGGCTGACTATTCTCCTCCCCGCTATCCTTCACAAGCTCATCGTCCAAGCAGATACTCCTCAGAGGCTCCGCCCACTAACACACCAGGACCCTGGGCCCCGCCCAAAATACCGTACCAATCACCGAGTCAACAGACCACACCTCCTGACGGTGCTTATTACAATCAGCCGGCCCGGCCCCCAGGGTCAGGAGGGCATGGTCAATATGATGAAAGTGGGAGGGGCTACAGTAACGCGCCCACCAGCAGATACGACACAACCACTGGACAACCTGACGAGTACAGAGGAGGTGGGGCTAGTTGCTATGACGACAGCGACAGTGTATCGCTGCCATCCCATAATAAAATATATTCAGGTCCAGTCCTGCCGACTGGGAGGGGCGGGGCAGTGGGTGGGGCTGGATTGAGCAGATACAAGAGCACATCAGAATCAGAATATCATGGAGGAAAGAAATCACCTTATGATCCACAGTATTATGGAAGTGGCTACACCCACTCTCAGACTGGCCACACCCACCACCCCCAGACCCAGTTTTATGGGTACACTCTGCCTCCTAAAAACCAGTTCAGTGGCCAGCAGTCCCAGACCCAGTATGGGGGTCATAATATACCACCTCAGGCCCAGCGTGGGGGCCAAAATAATTCACAGTACAGGGAAAGTAATCCTCAGACCCAGTACAGGGAACAGAATATTCCGCCCCCGACCCAGTTTGGTCAGAATAGCCCTCCTTTTAGTTCCCAGACCCAGTATGGGGGTCAAAATAATCCTCAGTCCCATTATGGAGGTCCTGACTCTCCCCAGACCCAATATAGAAATCACTCAGGTCCCATTGAGGGGGGCAGAGGGCAGCCCCCAGTGGAATTTAAATACAATCAATATTCTAAACCAGTTCAGCCCCAGCCCACACCCCCAGCCACACCTCCAGGGGACACTGCATCTAGTTTAAGAGAAGAGGTTGAGATTCAGAAGGTTATGAAGGAGAAACTGATTAAAGAGATTGGGCATCTTGACGGACAGAGAAAGATGATCGAAGAAGAGATAAGAGTCCTCACTGCAGAGAAGGAACAACTTGATATTGACGTGGAGCATCTAAAAGTATGTCATTGACGCATGTGTACATGTACATGTATGCTGTTGTTTGTGTGTTGTTGTTTGTTGTTTGTTTGTGTTTATGTTGTTTGTTGTTTGTTGTTTGTAGGTTGAGGAGAATAAGTTCAGGACAAGGTTGATGCAAGCTGAGCAGAACCTGGATCTGGTCTCACAAGTGGCTGAGAAGAGGAGATCAGAACAAGAATTGAAGAATGAATCAAGAACCAGTGACACTGCTGAAGAACTCAAGGTATCTCTACTAATAATCATTATTAGTTAATAATGTATTGATGTTATTTTTGCTATTAATGTTATTTATTATTGTTTTTAATGTTTTTTGTTATTTTTTATCAGAGACAGGAAGAGAGGATAAAACAACTTGAGATCAGTCTAAGAGAAAGAGAGTCAGACATTAAGAGAAAAGAAATGGAGCTACAGACACAAGTACATACAGCATGTGCACACTTTAAAATTGAATCTATTCTACTTATTTTTATTGGGTCACCCATTACTTTTTAGTCTGATATTTTGTATCAAAGGAATAAAGAGATTAGTTTGAAGGAGTACGACCTGAGGAACAGTGGCAGTGAGCAACAGGTTAAATATTACATTATGAAAATATCGGTGTATAGACTAATTATTTTTATTATTTTTAATTTTTAGACTCAGAATCGTTTTGAGAAAGAGAGGGACCTTCATTGTAAGCAGCTGGAGCTGGACGAGAGAGAGAATAACATTAATAACAAGGAACAATCACTTCTGTCCCGTGAGCAACATTATTATAATTTAAAAGAAGAACTGGATAGAGATAGAGAGAGGTTGGAGTCATGGAGACTCTCTCTGGAGAGTGAAGATGAGAGAGTACAGCAGAATATGAAGAGTGCTTCAAAACTGTTTGATGAAGCAAAACAAATGAAAGAAGAGTAAGTCCATTAACATGACAATATACTCACATGAACAGCAATCAATGAATGAATGAGTGACTAATGCTGTACTACCCCATGGGCTACCATAGTCTGCTTTTTGCTACTTTTTAAAATGGCTGTAACTTGAAAAATTGAAGTTGGAATCAGCTCAAACTTTCTACACATACAGCATAAAGACATCAATATACATGTACATCAATATATATGTGCATGTACATATCAAGTTGTTGTAGCATTTATGCATTACTTGAATTTATTTATTTATATCCCCGACAGTGCTCTATCAGCAGCTGTTACCTCCACTCCCATTAAAGACCCAGCCCCCACCAGTTCTTCCAATCCGTCAGATAAAGTTACTCCTACTCCTCCTACTGACCCGCCCCCAAAGACTCAACCTCACTTAGTGAAGGCACACACTATAGGTCATTCCAGTGGGGGCGGGGCCTCAGGGGGCGGGACTGAGTCTCATAAAGACGCTAAAGGAAGGAGAGCAACTTATTCATTCACTGACCAGGTAGACCAGGTATCAATTTATTATTATTAATAATTTATTATTATTATTATTATTATTATTATTATTATTATTATTATTATTATTATTATTTCTCTCTTTACAGGGTGTTAATGATGATGAAAGCATTGCCCGTTATATGCAGGTATACATGTACATGTAATAATATTCATTAATATATATTATTGTTATTATTATTATTTATTATCTTTATACATTAATATGTACATGTACGTGTACAGTAGTATATATGTATTTTGATGTATTGTCTGTATAGCTGCAGTTGAATAATGAAACTTATAATGAAGATTTGAAATTTGCTGAGTCATTGCAGGAGATCAATGAGCCACCTGAAATTGATGAGAAAACAACACTGAGAATAAACCTGGTTAGTTATTAACAGTTATTATTAGTAGTTATTAATAGTTATTAGTAATTTAGTAGTTATTAGTAGTTGTGATGCTATATTTAGTAACATTACATCATATTCTATTTATAGTATCAATATTTATTTAGGGACTAAGTAAAGATGCAACTGATGAGGAAGTACAGGCACGTCTTCAAGAGTTTACTAAGTAACATATTATTAGTATATTATTAGTATACTACTATTTTGTAATTTTGTTTGTTCCCTTGGCATTTTGTGACTTATTTTTTTTCACAATAATTTTTCCTTACTGCATATCATTGACTTTAATGTCTGCTACCATGTATAATATGACATCCAAATGTCTGTTGGCTATACATTTTTTTGCTTGTATCAGGATGTGTGTTTTATTTGATGGAAATTAGCCACAAGCTTCTGTATAATAATAACCAAACAATCTGTTACAATATACAACAGTCTCTCATTAAGTACTAGAAAGCAGCTGCCATTTTCTTTAAAAGTTTCATCAGCTGATGAGAAACTGTATGACTGAGTAGAGGGTATCTTAACTTTGATATACATACAGTATTGTAACTGGAGCTATGGGGAGTCTACACATCAAAGGCCCTTCACTGGTTTCTGTATATTACATACTTTGTGGCTTCTATTTGGATTTTACTGATGCTTCTACCATACCTGTTTGAAATTGACCAATCAAATTTTTGTTTTAGAATCTGTACAACAAGGCAATAGACGTGTTACTAAAAATAGAACAAATTCTATTCTTGTCAGTTGGGATCACATTACAACAGTAAAATGTTATGTGTGTTAGTACATACTGTATTACCATATACTGCTTGTAACATGATGAATGATAATAGTATGATTTCTTAATTGTCACTAATTACTGGTATTCTCAATGTTTGCATTCTTCAACACTACTTCATCATGTACTCCTAAAGTATATTCATGTCCACCTACCACCAGCAGTATATAGTAGTACAGCTTATCTGTTTCAATAGGATCTTTCTTTTTATATAGTACCTGTTCTACTGTCTCTTAGTTGATTTTATAATCAAAAGCTGTTACAATCTCTTTATGACACTCTCTTCCTTTCCTTGTCTGACATTTATTTGTTAGCAAAATAATTAATAAAAACAAATCCATGACAAAAAATTAATTGATAATAAAAACTATATCTCTAGTCTCTACTGTTAACATTGACTACTGGTAACTCACTACTGAAAAATAATTTAATCACAAAAACAATAATAAAACACAATAAGAAGGAATGTTAATTGTTGCAAGAAGCTGGTACATCCTCTCCATTGATCCTCATAGCCTCACATGCCAACTGAACAAGTCTGGGCTTACAAGAATAGCAGACAGAACTGCAAGGATCTAAAAGATATACAAGTTATGTGGAACAGTTGATACATGTACTATAGTCATACCTGGTGGTATAGCATTTAGTGAAAATATATATGTCCCTGGTATGTTGCTATTAAGCATCATAGTAGGGGCATCCATGACGGTAGTATTAAATGGAAAGAAAGAAGGATCAGATGGTACATCAACATCATTAACATATGAACCTATTCCAGTAGTAGCTGATGTAATGCTCACATCAACATAAAGTGCAATACCAAATGTATTGTTTCCATTAGTTGCAATTATTGCTTGGAAGTTACTGCCCTAAAAATAATAAATAAAGTGATTAGAGTGTAGCTAGATATTATTAACAGTATTTCATGTATTAAGTGATTAATATACTAACTTGGTTCAAGCCAGCTTTTAGATAATCTATCCAAGTTGCTATTATTAATTGTGTAGGAGAAGATGCACTGCAGAAAGTATTAGGAAATCCTTCATTAATCTGATCCATAGCTCTCTGTATTAGCCCTGGATCAGCAGTAGTCCTAGCATATGTCTTAGTATTGGAAAAAGTGCCTCCAGACTGGAGCACATTTAAATTGATGAAATCATCATCATCATTATACAATCGCAGGTTCCCATTCCGAAAAACCTATAGATAGTATAAGTAAATGTTATAAACTGAGAAATGATCAATAAATTGTGTTACTAATAAAATGAACAGATAATGGTTAGTGTACAATTGCACTACATTACAAACTAAAGCACTAATAATGTGTGTGGGTGTGTGTGTGTGTGTGTG